AGAGTCAGATGATGTAGAATTTGTTGGATAAGCAGATTGTGCAAGGTATTATTATTATTAGTATTACTATTTTTTATTGTTATTTATTACGGTTGTTATTATTGTAATTATTATTATCATTATTGTTGTTGTTGTTATTGCTGCTGCTGCTGCTGTTGTTGTTGAAGATGTTATTATAATCATATAGGCCAAATCATTTCAACAAAGACATTGTAATAAGGAATAATAATGATTTGATAGTTGAAGAAGAAGAAGAAGAAGAAGAAGAAGAAGAAGAAGAAGAAGAAGAAGAAGAAGAAGAAGAAAAAGAAAGAGGAGGAGGAGGAGGAGGAGGAAGAAGAAGAAGAAGAGTATTTACAAAACAAAACGGATGACTGGGAAAAAAAACTAATATTATAAAAGTAATATATTCAACTACAATTAAGACACTATGAAAGTCAACAACAACAACAACAACAACAACAACAACAACAACAACAACAACAACTACAACTACAACAACTGCTAGTACAACACAACACAACATTGTTGTTGTCCAGATGCAATCACACAGTACTGATGTCGGACAGTTTTGGTGGGAGCAGAAAAAAAGAGAGAAACCCGAAATTATTCTAAGTCAAGTAAATAAATAGCCCAAGTGTCATTCTCACAGAGATTAAGTTCACAATTATTCTTTATTGCATGCACACGTATGTATTTCAAATCTTTGATAGTTGGGAAGGAAGCAAATGGGGCGCTAACAATTAAACAAGGAGATATTTATGATTTTTTAGCAAAAGGTTTTTAGGTAGCCTAGCTATGTGTGTACAATTGTTTTTAGTTAAACATGTATTGTTTTTTGTTGTTCTATTTTCTTTCATCATAGAATAATATGTTGTTGTATTGATATTATTATTGTCGATTTCATCATTACTCTTTTTATTAACGGCTTTGCCCCATCACTACTATGGAAATGCTGGACAAGCCCGGCTCTGGCCCCCACAATTATTTTATAAATAATCCTATCCCTACTCCAATACCTACCCCTACTGCTAAAGATACTATCGAAATTCCTCTACTCTTGGCGGGGCTAATTCTTGAGATTCGCGTACAAATTTTAATATTTTCCATCGTTGGTCAAGATCTAATCATTTCAAAAGCAAAGAAAATGTCTGGTATATTATTATAATGTCAAATTCTGGTTTTGGATGTTAGACTAAATTACTAGTGCTCGATGGTGATAAGTCAGACTTAAATATAGGCCTACTTTAAGGTATCGAACAAAAGGGGGTGGGGAAAAAAAGGGGGGGGGGGACAAGTGGTCCAAAATTAATAAACGGAGGGGGGTGGGGGTGATGGCACATTCAACCCTATACCCCTGTACCAGTTGGAATAAGTCTGTTTTATTTCTCCTTCAGTGAATAAAAGAACAAGAGATCATGAAATTGAAGCGATTGTACAGAAAGTTACTGTGACAACTTTTCACATTTAGGAACAAACCAGTTTCATTTAAAAAAATATAAACCAATGTACAAAAGTTTTTTAAACGCACAGAAAATTGAGGTAGCCAACCTGGTACCGGTACTAATACTGAGGGTAATTTGCCATTTACCCAAAAAAAAAAGAAGTTTCATTCACATCTAGATTCTAGATATAATGTTTCACATATGATTGTCGGTCGTAACAAACTGGGAAAAAATAAACGGGGAGGGGAGGGGGGTATGGAATAAGGAAGGAGCTGGGCCTGGGGGTGGTGCGCAAAAAAACTGAAAATTAATAAGCGAAAAGGGGGGGAGGGGCTTATTCCATACCTTTGAGTAAATAATGTTTGTGACTTTCTTTCTGAGTTCCGTTTGTTTGTTTCGGTTGTTTGTTGTTTTGCTGTGTTTGTGTGTGTGAGTGTGTGTGTTGTGAGAAAGAGAGAGATAGACAGAGAGACAGAAAGAGAGTGAAAGAGAGAAAGAGAGAGAGAGAGAGAGAGAGAGAGAGAGAGAGAGAGAGACTGTGTGTATAT